TTTGTGCATAGATATAGGATCGGCTGTTGGGAAACATACATTAGTGTTAGTGTGGTATGGTTGACCGAAGGATGATCAGTTACAGACAGGTATTCTTTGTTAGTATTATTATTATTATTACTATTATTATCAACATCATCAAAACTATTCATAATTTTAGATCGTCATGTGATTTGTGCTGAATTTCGATTCAATCCCAGTTTTGAGTCCTGTAATCGTAACTCAAGTTTATTAGTTACTACATATAGAAGTAAGTATTAGTTGTAATGTAAGGTAATCATATGGTGGCATTAATATTTTTAGGCTCGTACTAGCATTTTTCTTGTACTGGTATATTACCATCACAGTACTACCATATTTTTGTCGGCATCACTGGGCACAGTTGGGAAGAGGTACACAGATACAGGAGGCTCCTCACCATCCCAATATCTATTCAACCCTATATACATAATGTTTATATTTTTAAAAATTTAGAATAATATTTTTGTATTTACTTCTTCCAGTAGATCGTTGAATGTTACAACTGCTACCAGTACTAGGATCTGAATGAGGACCATGTTGGGGTCTTTTGCTGGAACCACTTATACTTGATGATGGTGGCTGATATATGGTAGTCGGCAGGGCTGTCTGGTCCCAGTGGTGGCGGTTCTTGGGCTGGTTTTCTGTGTAGTAGTGAGGGCTATTCCCTTGCCACTATCACTTATTACCTGCCTGACAGCATCATTGACCGTGTTTCTTAGGCTGTTGGCAGATTTTTCAGAATATACAATATAATATTTGATAATAATGTAAAATTATTACTTCAAGTCAATTATACCGTTTCTCTCCTTGCTATGCTTTCTAGGTGTACTTGTAGGTTAACTTTCTCACCTTTGCTAATTTTAATGTTTTTATAATGCGTTTTGCTAGTGATTTAGCCATGATAAGAACAGTGCCAGTGCGGGAGCCATTTTGTTATTTTCAAATTTCATTCAATCTGGCCGCCATATTGTGCCCAGGGCACCTCCTTTTATACTGTGATCGACGGAAGCGATTTCATGACGTTGCGTGAATGGTTTTATAGTGCACCTTCTTGTTTAAGACAAATTTAGACTAACCCTGAAGTTATGGTTGTACATACATGTACTAGCATGTGCACTATTGCACATGACATCACACCATAATTTAATCATGGTGGAGGACAAATGCAAGCAAACAGAACACTGGGGTTGAGGTTACTGCTAGTTGTTACTTGTTCCTCTAAAGCAAGACATAAGCACTAGCTGAATGAGTATAGCACTGAATAGTTATTAAGAATGTGGAAGTGAAAAAAGAGGCATTTTTTACTAGCATCTGAATGCATTGTGACATCGTTACTTGCACTACAGTCTTCAAGCACC